TCTTTTTATATTTTCTTAGTTCAGTATATCTCTGGATTAAGATACAAATTATGATTAGGGTAGAAACTTTAGCTGTAGTTATTCACGTTCCAAAATAGCACCTTTTTTTGTCAACTAGAATTTTGGATCTAAATATTTTTAGTATCGAAGGAATATTGTAAAATCTTATAAATTTTTTTAACTTGGATTAATGTGTTCAATAAATTTGTTGCTGGAATGTTAGATTTAATGTTACGATGAGATTAAATTTTTTTCATTTAATGTTACGATGCCGCAATATGAACAAGATTAATGTGTTCAATAAATTCAGTTAGTCTTGTAACTTGTATCTGGAAAGACAAGATTACTTGTATATATAAAAAGTCATTTTACTTTTAGATTTAAAAATTCTCATATTTATGTTGATTTTTTTTAAAAAAAAATTGGGTTTATCATGTTGAATGCTCCACAAAAGAAAATTGGGGTTAGGAGAGCGTGCATCCAACGTCTGGCCGATTATATCAAAGTTTTAAAAATAGATAGCTGCATGCAGGATGGAAGCAGAATCTTCTAAACAGATTAAAATGCTGTACGAACATCATTCTGAACACCAATCCTGCCGGATGGAAGCAGAGTTTCCCAGAAATTGAAACACCCTCATCTTCCTCTTTCTTTTCCTCAGAAGCTGCAAGATGCAACATATAGATACCATCAAACATCCTCATGATATTTGATTGGAAGTGAATGCGGCGACCTTTTGTTTTACACTTCATTTCATGTTTAACCTTTTTCTATCCCCCAAAAAAGAAAAATGCATTTCGTATATATCATTATATATGGACAGCTCAGACGCAACTCAAATTGTCAAAAATTTCATTTTCTTTGGCACTGATAAACGTCAAAGTTGTCTAAATACTAACAACATATAGAATCCATGAATAGATACCATGCGATTCTCAAAACATAAGGGGAACTAATTAAATCAGGAGAGGATAATATGATCCAAGTCCATGATCCCCTCTCTGAAAGCATATTTAGGACAAATATTGAATACTCAAAACCACCGGCGTCTCACATAGGTCGCCCACAGTACCAGTGCAAAACTATTTTTTTTCGTGATTATTTCTAGTATTATTATTTGCTTAACAGAAAGAAAAAAAAGTTGTTTTAATTTTATTTTTCTTCAAATGTGTGGACTCCTGAAAACGGGGGAGTTTTTGAGCTTTGTATTTAGAATGAAAATAAATAACGCAGCTGGGTAAAATTTTTGGGAGAAAAACTTGGATTTAAAAAGAATTTGAAAAATAACACAATTTAAATATATTTGTGTTTCTAGATATCATTTTTTTATACAACCATTATTTTTTTAACTATATTTTAAAATGGAAAAAAGCTGTTTTAATTTTATTTTTCTTCAAATGTGCGGACTCCTGAAAACGAGGGAGTTTTGAGCTTTGTATTTAGAATGGAAATAAATAACGCAGCTGGGTAAAATTTTTGGGAGAAAAACTTGGATTTAAAAAGAATTTGAAAAATAACACAATTTAAATATATCGGTGTTTCTAGATATCATTTTTTTATACAACCATTATTTTTTTAACTATATTTTAAAATGTATGTCTTTTACAAATTAATTAAACTAATTAAAAATCAACTTAAAATTTTCTAAAGATTCCTTGATTAAAATACAGGATTCAAGATTCAATGGCACAAGAAATAAGGTTAGTTGATAAAAGAGAGAAATTAAAGAAAAGAAAAAATAGATCATTATAAACGTATCGAGGCTTTTTTTTTATATATCCATTTGTTAGAAAAATCTCAATAAAATAATTCTAATAATATCTTAAAATACCAACAAACGAGTTTATAATTAACTTTTAATAAAACTCTTAGTTAATATCAATCTTGTTTGGTGATCTTTAAAGTTATTATTAGATTTGTTTTATTGATATTTTTTTAATAGCACCAAGAATATAAAAAATAAAGCCCTAATATGTCCATAAACATATTGAGGCTTTATTTTTTATATACCCATTATTATTAAAAAAATCTCAACAAAATAATTCTAAGTTCTAGATAACTTGTTACTTATTTATTTATTTATTTATTTTATTATATTAGCTTATCTTTTTTTTATTGCTATTGAATCTTGCAATATCTTAAAATACTAACAAATGAGTTTATAATTAACCTTTAATAAAACCCTTAATTAATATCAACTTTGTTTGGTGATCTTCAAAGTTATTATTAGACTTGTTTTATTGATATTTTTTGACATTTTTTAATAATACCAAGAATATAAAAAATAAAGCCCTAATATATTCTAGATAACGTGTTACTTATTTATTTATGTATTTTATTATATTAGTTTATCTTTTTTTTATTGCTATTGAATCTTGAATATGATTTTTTTATTATTAGATATTTATAAAATTTTAAATTGATATTTGTTTTCACTAACTAGTTTAAATGATAAATAAAATTTGAAATAAGCATTATTAGTTTTACAACTATATTATTTCTGTAATATTCATCAAATTAAATTGTGTTAAAATGATAAAAGAAATTTGCATCAGGCATGATGTTTTGAACAAATAATAGAAGACGTGGCTCTGCGCACGAATTAATAGGACTGACTTTGTGCTTCAAACGTGCCTCTTTCTAATTTTGTATCCTTCTCCTCCTACCTTTTATTCCCCTCTAGCATCCCCAACCTCTTTTCTCCTCCATTTTTTGACCTTTTGACTGTACTGTAATTACTTTTCTGCCGACACAAAATGGAACTGAGAAGATGAACAATAATTAAAAACTCCATGAAGAAGAGAAAGAATAAATTGAAAGATCTTAAATTGTCTATGCAATTTTTATTGGTGTAAAAAGCAAAAGCGGGTGTCAGCTCCAGCTCAAGACTGATTGTCCCTTCCTCCTCCTACCATTTATTCCCCTCTAGCATCCCCATCCTCTTTTCTCCTCCATTTTTTGACCTTTTGACTGTACTGTAATTACTTTTCTGCCGACACAAAATGGAACTGAGAAGATGAACAATAATTAAAAACTCTTATTTTCTGGAAACAGTTTTTGAGAAATCACTTTTCAAATTTTTTTGTGTTTGTTTGTCATTAAGAAAATTGGTCAATAGAAAATATTTTCCGATCAACAAAAAACACTTTTCAGTGAAAGGAAAACACTTTTTGATCAACGAAAATATTTTTTAGTCAAAAAAAAATTTTGCTTGATTTTCAAGAAAGTATTTTCCTTTTTAGCTGTGTTTGTTTTCCGGAAAGTGGTTTCCGAGAAAACACTTTCCAAACTTTCTTGTGTTTGTTTTGCAGAAAGTGATTTCTGGAAAATCACTTTCCAAACTTTCTTGTGTTTGTTT